AGAGGCAGAGGGAGAAGCAGGCTCCCAAGGAGCAGGGAGCCCGATGCGGGACTCGATCCCAGGACCCTGAGATCATGACCCGAGCCGAAGGCAGACGCCCAACCATCTGAGCCACCCAGGCGCCCTATAAGGTGCTTCTTAACCTTTTGTTTTTGTTACTTCTGTATCATTTAAGGGGCACCTGGCTGGCTTGGTCTGTAGAGCATGCCACTCTTGATCTCAATTGCGTGAGTTCAAGCCCCACGTTGGGCATAGAGTTTACTTAAATTACAAGAGTAGTACAGAGGGGGACGCCTGGGTGGCTCAGTCGGAAAAAAAAAAAAAAGAATAGTACGGAGATACCCCATTGTGCTCAACATTGTTTACATTGTTGTTTACATTGTACCCCTTTATTGTTCCTGCATCTTCTCTTTAAACCTGCACTTCTAACATTTTTATTTATTGTAGAAAGAGCCGGGGGAGGGGGGGCGCGATGCAGAGAATCCTAAGCGAGCTCAGTGCCCAGTGCAGAGCCCAATGTGGGGCTCCATTTCATAACCCTGAGATCACGACCTGACCCGAAATAAGAGATGCTTAACTGAGCCACCCAGGCACCCCTGTACCTAAATATGTTAATGTAGATTTTTTTAAGAACAGACATGCTCATACTAACCATGGTACAATCATCAAAATCGGAACATTTTAAGATTGACCCAATGTTCTAGTCCAGCCTGTTTCATCAGTTATCCCAAGTGTCTTTCATAACACTTCTTCAAATTGTCCAGGATCGAACACAGGGGCCATTTATTGTAGTTAGTTGTGTCTGGGTAGTGTTTTTTCATTTGGAACAGTTCCTCACCCTTTTGTCTTTCATGACTTTTTGTATTTCATGTGTGTGTGTGTGTTTTGTTTTCCAGCTATGTTCACTGAGGGCCTGGAACCCCTGCTACTATGGTAGCAGTGAGCACACCTGAGCACCCAGATCTTGATTTCTAAATGCTGAAAGGAGCCATGGCTCCTTGGAGAAATGTCCAGCTTTAGGGCTGGGGTAGAGAAAATAACAAGATGAACCTGGGACATTGTGATTTGCCAGGAAGAAAGGAAATCTCAAAAAATGATGAGTGCATGTCAGAACACTGGAGCCACTCAAAAGATTCTTACTGGTCAACTGTGTATCAAGTCGATTATGAAAGTATTGATTACAACTATATTCATATAAAAATGAGGAGCAGGGAAAGCTTTTAAAAGAACATCAACTAAGAAAATAATGCATTTGAAAAATCATTTTACTAAAGGGAGAAAGTGCAAGTTTGATGAGCAGGAACATTTACATTGTCCTAAAAGTATTGTGCTCGCTTCGGCAGCACATATACATTGTCCTAAAAGTATTAACTTGCCATGTAATAATATGCATTACTTGCCAGGGGACATTCTAAAAAATCCCCAACCTGGACACGCAGTTGGAGAGGTGGTATGATCATCCCCATTTTAAAGATTGAAATACTAAGTTTCATAGAATGTCTTTTAAAATTAAGGAATTTGAATCCATAAAGAACTTTACAGCTGTCAAAATTCTGTGCATCATCTGACCATCTTTTTAACAATCATGAAACAGTTACTATCTTTCCCGTTAGAAAAGAATTGAGAAGGGATGCCTGGGTGGCTCAATCAGTTAAGCATCTGCCTTTGGCTCGGGTCATGATCGCAGGATCCTGGGATCAAGTCCCGCATTGGGCTCCTTGCTCAACGGGGAGCCTGCTTCTCCCTCTGCCTTCTGCTACCCCTGCTTGTGTCCTCTCTCTCTGACAAATAAATAAAATCTTAAAAATTAAAAAAAAAAAAAATTGAGAAAACGGTTACTCAAGATACAGCATCTGTTAAGTTTTACAGAGCCAGGCCTGAAACCTGATTTCCTTTAGTTTTTCTATGGTTAGACCTGGTGTTCTTCCCTTTTTAAATTTTATCACCATTTGAAAACCAGAGGTTGCTAATATTAACCATCATTTATTGAATGCTATAATGCCAGGCACCTTTCCAAGTGTGTTATGTCTATTAATTTGCCTAATTGTCCTAGCTTCCCAATGAGGTAAGTCCTGTCTCCGTTTTACTTTTGTGGATCCTGAAGCGCACAGGGCTGCAAGGGGTACTTCCGTTCTCGAATTCTCGAACTAAGAACTTAACTTCCCCCTTTAAAATAATTGATGTTGGGGCGCCTGGGTGGCTCAGTTGGTTAAGCGACTGCCTTCGGCTCAGGTCATGATCCTGGAGTCCCTGGATCGAGTCCCGCAT